AATAATCGAATTAACTATAATATAATATGTTTTCCGAGACTATGAAAAAGGTCCTCGGAAGGTGTGTATGTCCTCGGAAGTAGCTATATATCTGTATTTTTGTCCTCGCAACATATAGCAATCCAAGTACACACACACACACACACACACACACATACATACAGACACACTAACTGCAAAGACTCCCTTTTTGTGCTTCGCACACGGGAGTCAAAAATATCAGAACACTTTGCATGGAAAATACTGACTGAAATTTTGAAACAATTGTAACAAAAATTGACAAGAATAATGAACTCATAATAATTACATAACAATGGTAATTTTAATACATACATGTATATTTATGTTCTTCAAATAATACTATAGTATGTACAGTATTAATTTAATTGTCCCTCATAGAATAATATAACATGAATTGTATAAAAATTCCTACAAAACAAGCCATGCATGGCACAAGATATCTAGTTTTGTTTATAGTAATACAACTGGAATATAAACATTTCAGGAATATGATTATGATGATTGTTTAACATTAAAATGACTGACATTTGTATCTGATCGTCAAATGAGTATTGGAACAGCATTAATTAAAACAAACAAAATACTATTGAATAATATTGAATACATTTATAATGAATATATAAAATTTGAACATAATCTGTCAAAGCTTGTCAGAGATATGGCTCTAGAAGCCCATTCATTAAAACAAAATGGCCACCAGTCAGCCATTCTGAATCTGATCTATAAAATACAAGCCATGCATGGCAGTCCCCGTTAGTTATCAAATTTAAGATATATATTTTGTTCATAGTAATATAGCTGGAATATAACCACGTCAGGAATATGATTTTTTTAACATTAAAATGATTGACATTTGTATCTGATCGTCAAACAAGTACTTGTTCATATTGAGAAATATTGCTCAGGAACAGCATTCAAAATCAGCCATTTTGAATACATGTGTATATATATATATAACATGATGTATAACGAATATATAAAATTTGAATATAATCAGTCAAAACATTTAAGAGATATGGCTCTAGAAGCCCAATCATTAAAACAAAATGGCCGCCAGTCAGCCATTTTGAATCCAATCTGAATAATAAAATGATGTACATCAGGAACCTGTAATGTCTAATGTATGTTATAAGTTTGAACAAAATCCATCCATAAATGTAAGAAATGCTTGATATTAGTGGATTTTTTTAGCACAAAAATAGCCACCATTCGGCCATTTTTAATATGGTCGTCAAACCAATATATTTGTGTATTTATGACATGATGTATAATGAATATTTAAAATTTGAACATAATCAGTCAAATCTAGTCAGATTTATGGAATCATATTCTTTAAAACAAAATGGCTGCAAGTCGGCCATTTTAAATCTTATCTGAAAAACAAAATGATGTGCACGAGGTCCTATAATGTCCAACGTATATACGAAGTTTGAACTAAATCCATCTGTAAACAGCTGAGAAATGCTTGATTTTGATCATTTTTTAAGCACAAAAATAGCCGCCATTCGGCCATCTTGAATCAGATCGTTAAACAAATTGATGTGCATATGTATCATGTATGATGTATGAGTGAAGTTTGATTGTGATTGGTCCAGGCATTTCTAAGATACAAGCTCGGAAGCACAGAAGCACAGAGGTCAAAACATTCCTCGTTTTCGAACTAATAATGGTACAGTCAATGTTTTTCCTCAATAAATACTACATGTACTGTATTAATCTCAATGTCCCTTAGAAAATAATATAGCATGAATTGTATAAACATTCACAAATAATAGTGCAGTAATATATACCGATATAAGCAAATTAAAATGCTTGTCAGATTTGATTTATTAGAAGACAGTGTTCATGCAAGAAAATTTATGACAGATTCATTATTTGTGAGGGAAATATTTTGACGAAGAGCAAGCAAGCCATTCAGATAGAGATTGTACATTTATAATTATCCATGAATTTCAAGCAATGCAAAGAGGAACAGTAGTATGATATTACACCAAAATGCTTACAAATTGTATTGTTACTCAGATGAACAGGCACATACATGTATACTTAGAAGTTTTCATGAAAGTGGGCTGCTACGAGAGAAAGATTCCATCACTGAATTCAAATACTCATCTGATATTCAGAAAAAGAATACTAATGTTGAAATATGGTGTTTATCGTCCAAAAGTATGAGAGTCTGCCAAACACTGTACATCATATATGTGATGAGACGGATTATACTCTATAATTACTAAAGTGCACAAATGTAAGTTAAACAAAATATATTCACAGCCTCCCTAATTTAATAAGATGAATCTGAGCCCCACTGAACAAGTACAACAAAATAATGGCTAATAGGACAGGGGCATTTCTTTTTCTGATGAAGTTGATAGAAATATCTAGCGTTAAACATACCTCTTCTTGATTGTAATGGTTCTCCAGGCATAGGACCTCCATCATTACAAGGTTTATTGGCAAGACTATTACAGTCACTGTAGTAAAGTAACAACACAACATCAAACATAAACCATACCATTGACGTGGCCAGTACCACTTTACAGTACATAAATCGTCTACTTCCCATATTGGATGACTATAAATTCTTTCTAAAATGATGTGAGATCCACACAGCTGATCTGGTTCCTGCAGTGATCAACCCAATGACAATGAAAAAGGCAGCAAAGGTGACAAGTCGGTAAAAAGAAGATTAAGCAGATTCTAGATTCATACAAAAAGTGTGCATCTCGCTTGAAAGGAATTTGTCAGTTGCTATGACGACTGCATCACTGAAGTCACCATGTTAATCAGCACTACCAGTTGCTATTCAGATTAGGTGGTACGCAAGATCCTCATTGTGTCTGAGATATAGTCCTAGAATCCTAGATTCAATAAAAAAAGAAAAAAAGAAATATAAACTGAATTCTGCTGAATGGCTGAATAGGCATACTCAGGATGTGATAATGCAACATTAGATGTCACGTTGTTAACATTTTAAGCACTTTACCGACAGTAAGCATGATTCACAAAAACATGGTTAAAGCACCCAGATTGTTAACATAACAAAGAAGCATTTTAATTGATGCAATTTTCTGGATAACTGATGCAGTATACAAAATAACATGTCAGCTGTATGCACAGGAATTGAGTTAAATTAATAGCAAGTCACGTATCTAGGGTAAATGGCGAAATATCTATGAACTTTTAGAAGGGTTCAACTTTCTGCTTTGGCAAATACAGCTTAACACATACTCTGCTATGCACACAAACTTAGGACCCACAGTGCAAGATACAAACACAGGTGAAAGGAGCAGAAATTATATGGACTGTAAATAATACATAATGTATTTAAAGAAAGTTAGTTTAGCTTGATTAGTTTGTATATGCTTACATAAATGACAGATGTGTCTATTGTGAAAATATCCTGTATTTTCCTGTATGATCCAGTGTACAATAAAATCAAAGTCTTCTATTAGAGACGTACATGTACTTTTAATAGAGTCTACCTGACATATTAGAGACGTACATGTACTTTTAATAGAGTCTACCTGACATACGCAGGCACTCCATTCACTATTAATTCTAGTTGTCAATGCACATCACCTCTACACCTAACTAAATGACAATCCAAAAGGCATTCAGTTCTTGTTGAATCTAGTTAAAGTCTAGTAAGGTACACACTAAATTGGGTAACAAATCCTGCGAATAACTGCAAGATTTAGATATTCATGTAGTCACTGGGTTCTTTATTACCGATAATCCACTGCGATTTAAAACGAAAATGCATATTCGTGAATAAGCGAAACTTTAGATATATATTAGAGAGAACATTCTGATTGACCATATTTCAATTTTCACAAAATAATTTATCGAGTCATTAAATAAGCTATGTTTTGGCATTAGACTAGTTAGTGACATCATAATTTTAAATTGTGTGCAAGGTCCAATAAGATTTCTCACTCAGAGGGTGTAACTATTCGATGTCACTGCTACTATATGATACATGAGATAAATACAAATCAGTATGCAATTTACATGTGTTACCTCCACCAGAACATATCACGCATACATGTACATATACTAAGTTTCAAGAAGAGAGTTGAATTCAGATTCAGAGAGAAATATTGAGAGTAACATGCACATATTGAGAGTACATCTGTAAGTTATCATGTATGGACTAATGGTATTCTGTAATATGCAAATGATCATTCATTTCACATCTTGTTTTCACCAGAATAAGGAGTTTTGAATTTTTTTAAGAGTATAGGAATGGAAATACATGTGCCAAGGCCAGATGCTGGTAATGCTATGTGCTAGGGAATAACAAAATGATATTATGAGAGTGCCACAAATTATGATAAAACACTGCCTTACACACGTTAGTCAATTTATACAGCCAGCATACTACCTTCATGCAGACATGCACATTATTTTTATAATAACCTTATAGGATTAGAAGCTCATGCTCCTGGGAGTAAAAGATATGACCTACATTTTGTATTTTATAACCTCATTTAAGCATGTCTGGTGAAGCATCCATAGTTGTCACATGTATTAAAAGCATATGATCTATTATTGCATTCAAATGTATAGAAGCACCCAGTAAGCTTCTGATAATTTGTGGCATGTACTGTATACAGTTCACCACTGCCATGTCAGTTTTAGTTTTTAGAGCAAAATATTTGTTTTCAGGACAATTTTAAAACCCCTATGAGTTTTGAATGGTCAAATACTCAGTTGTCATTAGAAATAATAGATGCTTACAATGTATTACCAATAATAAAACGGCTGTTAAAGGGGAACCGCTCAATCCCATTGATTGCACCAAAGAATCATGGGACACTATTGTTTATGTTGTTTACAATGTTAATCTATCTATTGTTATCCATTGTTATTTTAATCCAGAACATAAATTTGTTGTGAAATTAGGCTTAACTGAAAGGTGCCCCTTTAACAGTTGTGAGTTACATAATCTACACAGCTGTATTTGTGATATAATAGATGTTCAGAACTAGCAAGTATTAGCCTGGTGTATTGTTAATTTTTCATAATTATGTTTCTGGGTTGTATTCTTTCCTGCTGAGCTATATCACCTACAATTTTCTTAATTTATGAGGTTAATGGATTCAGTCAGAGAAAGTAAATCTTAGCAGATCAATATTGTGGAAAAACTAGAGTGCAATATCAAGACAGGTTTAAAGAATTGTAACTATCCCACCTGGTAAATAAATATAGTAATACACATGTGTTGATTTAATAATCTGAATTATGGTTCATTAAACTTTATGGAATCATATTAAAATTTATGTCTGATTAAATGGTGGCTGTAATGTGTCTTCTGAAAACATATTGTATGGGATTTAGTTGCATTCAATAATCACATTGTACGGGGTCTTACAATATGAATACATTGTACGAATGCATGAAAGAGTCAACCCTTTTTATGGCGTTGAATAGTCAATTATAGATTTACAATAGTATAAGAACAGTTTCTAATAAAAGTTTTTATTGGCTTGGTGCACTTCAAAAAATACCCATATGAGACAGTGCCTGTATTATGAAGCTATGATTTCATAAGACTGATTTTCAACACTGAATGTAAATGCCAGTTGATATGAATAATTCTATAATAATGTGTTTGGAAGCTATGATTTTAATATAATGAATGTTGATTTTTGAATGATGGCAATGAATGGGGACTTGCTTTGCAAATTACAAATGTTGCTGGAACATACATGTACATGGTTGTATCTTGCCCTCATCCCTAATTCTTTTTTTTCAAATGAACAAGACATGAATGTCACAGTCCCCGTTATTTAATTATAAAATACTCGTGTTAAATAATACATGGAACATCTGCAAATAATTGAATTAATATGTACTCTATGTGGGTACAACTCATCATAAAGTGATTTCCCTTAATCTGATAACTGAAAACTTTCATTGACCCAGGTCCAAAAACTCAGAGTACACAAGTGCAACTTGACTTCTTTGTTAATTCAGGTCTGTATATTACCAGGACCTGGGTTTGTTTCAGTATCACCACTATAATTCCCATCAAAATGTAGCCCTGACAACCCTCTACATTTTCTACTGCGATTGGTAATGGTATGACCCATCTGTCACTGATTCAGATCAAGGTCATGACATCACTAAAAACCCTAGCATTACAATCTAAGCTACCAGTAATTATTTATTCTGAGCATGCTCAGTTGTTCTCTGAGAGAGGTCTGAGAGAGGTACACATCTAATACCTATATATGTAATATCAAAGCAATTGGACTTGCGGTTTTTAATAAGAAGTCGAAAATATCACTTTTTACGACAAATGAAATATTCACAAAAATTAGAGAATTGAAGATAACATCAGAAAATGAACAAATTTGAGAAAGGTACACATGTATCTATATTTGTAAACAATCAGTAATATGAACAGCTCTGCTGTGTTGACTTTATCGACAGCGGAGCTAAAAAGTGAGGCAAAGCAAAGAGACACAGTCGTTACATGTACATTTTTGTATGGTTTGAATTCTGTGTTGTGTATATTACATGGGACCCATATAAAACTGTGGTTTTATTAAATTATTTAGAGATACCCCGGTAAGAACATTTTTACTAAATATTCATGAATATGCTGTCTTCTGACAAACAAAAAGAGTCATCAATTTATTTTCTGACATTCCTCCATTCAGGTTTTCTAGAAACTCTGCTGCGAGATTATAATCTTACCAAGAGGCTATCAAACTGTCAAGCGATTTTTCTTTCCACCTAGGAGTCAATTAGATTAATATGCACCAAAAAATACTCAACGAGTCTCTGAAGAATTCATATACATGTACATGTATGTGATCGTATTATAGAAAAGACGACATAATAGTTTCCTATGAGACATGCAAATAAACAGTTCAATGCAATAGCAATTTATAATCCTAACAGGTTATAGAGTCCTATCAAATACATCATTCTAGTGCTTTTTAATTTTAATTAGAATATATTTTTAGAAATATTTAAATCTGTAGCATGATAGATTCATTCTAAGCAGATGTATACTGCATACAAAAGTAGGTACTATACAGTATTACATATGTACTGCACGGGGAGGGTGTGGGGTTCTGTCATAGTATTAAAACACCTTGAATTTATATGTTGTACACTGGCCAATAAAAAACAAATAATTAAAAAAGGTTTCAAGAAAATGTTCCCAAGAAAATGGTAGTTGTATTACAGGTACATGTCATGTATAGTGGCAACCATTTTTGGTTACTAGAACAATTTTACTAACATAGTTGAACTCTAGTGACCTAGCCTTTGTTATATAATATTATTCCCTTTATCATAGTTTGTTTCAATGTGAATATGCATTGTCATAATTAATTTTAAATACAAACAAGTTTTGGGGTTGAAACAACAGTGGGGAATCAGTCTACCAAATGCCCTTGATAGAAGTAAATATCTTACAAAAACATTGGTGACTAATTCGTTTAATTATTTTAAGGGACATAAGAATATATTACACAAAATGATTTTCACTCAAAAAAGACGTCAATTCTTGTAATATTAATTTTCTTGGACGGCATTGCTGCTTCATCAAAACACCGTCCCTCAACAAAGAGGGACTGTGGTCGAAAGTGTCATCGTGTCACTGATCAGCCCGAATCGGAGTCAGAACTCAAGAAAGCATCTTGTCGTAACATAAACCAGCATGTGTTTTTCATTTTTTTTTGATGGACCAGGTTTTCTTAGTTTACGAGTAACTTTTAACAATATAAACATGTTAGCACCAGCGGCAGCCATGTTGTTAATGTTATGACTGAGTGGAGCTTGCACAGAACTTTTAACGAGAAGAAGACAGTGATTTGTACAATTCTCTCTTAATC